AATTCCTTTCTAAAGATCTATTTCAATTGTAGAAGGATGATATATTTGGCTTGCAACACATCACAGTATCTGAGATGTTCAACTATAAATGGACGTGTTCTTCCATCCTCAAATGATTGTTTCCATCCTTCTCTACCATGTTTATTTCCTTCCCTTCCCTTCCTGCTTCCCCCTTCCTTCTGGTTTTTATCAGCTGGCTCTTTCCTTGACTTGACCTACATACTGACCCCAGTTTTGTCCCTAACCACCCCCCCCCCCAGACTCAAAACTCCTCAATTTCTCTGTGCAAGACCAGTGTCCCCACAGGCCTGGCACTGGGAAGAGAGGTCAGGGCTGCAAACCGTCCTTTGGCAGTCATCCCTGGTGAAAGGATTTTCACATGTGTAAATCTTTTAGGACAACGATTGCAGACTGTGTGAGAGCAAGATTTCCTGGATCTGCATCAGGTCCAGGACATCGCAGAGACCACCCCACGTGGAACTTTCTTCACGTATCCCACAACATTTCAGCTCAGTGAAAAAGAACCTCTAAAACCACCCTGAAGAAGAAAAGACAAAGAAGAGATGTCACAGAAGGGCAGCTTGTGGCCTAGAGACCCAGCTGAGATAAGTAAGGACAGTGTCAGAGTGCCTGGGTGGTTCAGTCAGTTAAGCATCCAACTCTTGGTTTTGGCTCAGGTCATGATCTCAATGTTTTGTGAGTTCAAGCGAGCCCTGCACTGGGCTCTGCCCTGGCAGCGTGGAGTCTGCTTGGGATTTGCTCTCTCTCTCTCTCTCTCTCTCTCTCTCTCTGCCTCTCCGCCACTCACATTGTCTCTGTTTCTCTGAAAGAAAGGAAGGACGAAAGAAAGAAAGAAAGAAAGAAAGAAAGAAAGAAAGAAAGAAAGAAAGAAAGAAAGAAAGAAAGAAAGAAAGGAAAGAAAGAGAGAAAGAGAGAAAGAAATAAGGGGAAAAAGAAAAGAAAAAGAAAGTAAAGACAGTGTTTGACCAGGCAACCAGCTCTGCGAGCACCAGGAGCCCCCTCTGCCACTGTCAAGGGCTTTCCTGTGGTTGCTCCTTATGCCAAGATCTTGTATTTACCCATTGCCCTTCTCATTCCCTGCCACTGTTCCATAGCTGACTTGGAATTAAAGGAGGAGGAGGTGAAAGGCCTACTGTGTGACTTAAGTCAGCAGTGGTGGGTAGGAAACATATTCATGTTTAAGAAAGGAAGGTGATTCAGAGGCCAAATATGTTCTGATGAAAAGCTAAGATGGAAGAAGACACGCCAAATTTCCTACCATCCCACTCCCCCACCCCACCACCGCTCCATCACGGGGCAGACCTAAGGCAGGTCTCTGAAGCTTTTAAGCAGATTAGGAAAAAGCAGTGATGCATGTGCTACAACCCAGCTCATCTAATTTCTCTGTCAAAGAGAAACCATTGACTATTGAGACCATTGAGAAACCTCTGTCCTTGAGGTTCAAGCCAAAGCCCCAGCCCAGGTCTGAGTCAAGGGATACTTTGTTTTCCTTAGTGATTGTTCTCAAACCCATTCATTTTAAGAAATCTCTGGGAGGGATGGCTGAACTCTAAAGCTACGTGTATATTGCCTTGGGACCTTTGGACATATCGTCATCGTACAGCACCCCAGGGGCCGTTCCCATCCAATTTTAAAAACTGCCATAGTTCCATCATAATTGTTGGCAGATTCATTTCTCAAGTGAGCTAAACCACTACTGAACAGAAGTCAGGGCTAGTAGGGTGGTGAGCCATAAAGGAAGGACCCAGGGGAATTCTGCCGAATCCTGATCTCCCATGCCCGGGGCTGGAAAGGATGGGACAGCCACGGGGGTCTTAGAAACCTTGGTGTTGGGAGATATTTTCAAAGGAGGCTAAGAGGGAAGAGACAGAAGGAGTTTGAAACAGATCTGTTCTGTAGCTGTGTCTACAGAGCAGCAAACTACCTGCAGGGAAGACTGGGTGTGTTTTGCGTTTTTGTTTTGTTTTGTTTTGTTTTGTTGTTTGTTCATTTGTTTGGTTTCAGTTTCAGTCCATTGTGTACTGATACTTTTATTCAAGGCAACACAAGTGAATAGAAAAATTAAATTTTATAATAGGCATAAAGAGTATATACCCTATTTTATGATTAGATGGAACAAATACAAAATAGCATTTCATTAATTAAAATTAATTAGTATGGAGCCCCGATGGATGGCCATAAAGAGCTTCTAAACTGACTCTCAGTTTCTGTCCTCAGTTTGCCCAAGGTAGGTAATGAACGGGTCACAGACTGAGACAGTTCTGGGGGCCACGTTTTGAGGGGGCATGGCTTTAGAGGGCGTGGCTAACTAAAGTGAGGAAGCAGGTGTTTAGGCTGGTAAAGAAAAACAGCCCCACTGAGAGAATCACACGTGGTCTTTGGATGGACAGCTGTTCTATAAGGGTCTCTGAAAATATTGGAGGGCCAAAAGAGAGAGAAAGTGGGAGAGAAAACAAAAACCCTGTGTTCAAAAAAACAGCATCTCCAAGAGCAGCTAATGAGGACCACAAGTTCCCTGATTCGGGAAGCCAGTCCCGCACGGAGCATCACCTCACGTTCTCTCAGCCCAGCCCAGCTGCTACAAAAGCCATCCAAAGCAAACATGGCTCTCCCCACAGCAGACTCAACAGAACAAAACCAACACCCAGAAATAAATTGGATCGGCGAGCTCATCATGTTACACAGCTCTCTGTTCTCAAATCCAGGATCCTGAATATATAATAACAAATGATACTATTAACTGGTGCATTGGTCCCAAAGCCAAAAGCCAATAACTCATTACTATAAACCAAATTGATTCTCAGAAGTTTCCAGGTCAGCTACAAGAAAGAGTTGCGGGACTGGTCCTCCCAATTGAACTAAATCTCACCCATGTCTAATTGCAGGATATATGGCTAAATCCATTTCCTCTCTGCACAGCCAGCCTGTTGCTTAGCACTTCTGAACCCCAGAGACTTCTCAAAGCAAGGCAGGCATGGCGTCAGGTTGAAAGCAATGTGGAGCCAGGGACTGGTACATCAGGGTTTAAGAACGGACGCTGCCACCCGCTAGTTCTGTAATCTCCAGAGAGCCTTTATCCACAAAACAAGCCTGACAGCCACGTCCCTGGAAATTCCGTTGAAAGCACTCAGCCATTTGTAAAAACCTACGTGGATGTGAGTCTTCACTTCGCAGAAATAATCAGCTCACAGATGTTTTTAACCATGCTCCCGACCCCTCCAGAATAAGCTTTGTCTTTCACACAGTCGATTTCCTCCTCAGAGTTCAAACCACTTCCGCATGTCACACATTATTTTCTTTATGTTCCCAACATCACTGGGACATCGTAGGGAACTGGCATCGTCAGGTCCACTTGACAGTTTGGAAAAGTGGCTTGTGCAGGATCTATCTAAGGCACATCGGCAGTGATAAAAGATAACTTGAAAATTCACAGGGACATTTGGCTGGAATTAACAAGTTGGGCTTATTAAGTTTGTGGCTTTTCTTAATCTGGCTCCTCCTTGTCTCACCCATGAGACTCGGCAACAGGAAGTCACTGCTCTGAATTGGTTTTGTTAATTCTGCTTATTTAACACGCAGAAGAGCTTCGTTATTGCTGCATCCTTGTGAAGTGAAAACAGGATATTCTTCAAAGTCTGTGTTCTGGCAGTGTATTTATTAACAAATATGTTATTTCAGGTCAAGCAAATGATTTGTCCCCACTTGCATGCTGTGTGATCTCAGGTCAATTACTTAGCTTCCCTGAGCCTGTTATTTCAGTTGTAACATAAGTAGAATAGTTGACCTACCTTCCTCACAGATATAAGAACTGAAGATATATAAATTCTCATGTAAAGAGAATTTCGGAAATAATGTAAGACACTTCACTTACATTTTTGAATTATAATATATAATATACAATTATTAAACTGTTTATTATTTTTCCCACTGTCTCATGCTATAAAAACAAGTTTGGTAGGACTCTCTTGCAGTCTGCCAAGCATAATAGCTCTGGATTTCAATTCTCCTTTGCAAAAAAAAAAAAAAAAAGAGGCCAAGATGCATATATCTTAGGACAAAGAAAATAAGATCTGTTAATTCAAGGCAAATTTTGGTCAGTATCTCTGGACTGGGGTTACAGTGCCTGATTTATCTGTTTGTACGTATTTTACAAAATTTGCACTCTTGATCAGCATGAAGCATGAACAGAATCTTGAGGAATATGAAGTCTAATAGCTTTGGTGGTGATGAGAAAGTTCTATAGAAAGACTGCAATACATTATCATCTGTTCCCAGGAAGAATGATGAAATGTGGTCCTTGAGTTTTAAGAGATATTATTATCAAGGCCTTGGATAATCATATGATAATTTTTCAACCACAAATGAGTAAAGGAGAGACTCCAAATTCAAAATATGTTGCTAATGTTCCTTTGAAGTACGTTATGAAATCGCCTCCCAAAAATGTAACTAAAATTAACCCAGATTTAGTCAAATTTAGAGTAAATGGTGTGACTAGAAATAAGTTTGCTACAAAATATGTGGGTTTTTTTGGATGATGTTCAGGCTTCAACTAAGGCTTATTGCAATGCAAGCATGATCTGTGCAAGGTTCCGTGTCTCTCTCTATAATATATCTATGTCCAAATGAAAAATGGTGAGAAACTAAATACGATAGGCACCATTTTCTGCCAGGAAAAATAGTTAAGTATTGATTTAGAGCAATAAGTGTCTTTGGACTTTGTCTGCAACTTCATTGAATTCTTGGATATTTATTATTCTTTCACCTTTTATAATACAAGTGCTCAGATATCGAAGGCGGTTAACTCCAGAAATGAGTTTCTTATTGCATACACATCAAAAAAGCACTAACAGCTTGGATCAGTCTCCTCAAATGGGTATACACTTGCACACATAGGTGTGAAAAACCTTACCTCTGGAACACTTGTGGTGAGACAGTTAAAACTTTCGAAATCAAAACTCAGTCTTCAGAAGCTTCTTTCCTTCACCAATGCAGTCAGGATTTTCATCTGGGCTTCTTAAATCGAAGCCATTGAAATGATGGGGTTTTATTTTTCTCTATTTTTCCTAACAGCTGGCATTTCAATGACTCCAGAGTGTAAGTATTTTCTATACCTACCACATCAGAGATGTTAAGTGAGTTTCTAGTGATTGTGCTGTTACTTATAAATGAAAATGATTTCTCACAACCCTATCTCTCTGATTGTATTAAGTTAAATCCTATTGATTATATCATTGTTAAATTCTATATTATTAAACGATATATATATTATTAGATATTATTAAATGTATTTTAGAATTGTTAACCAGTAAAATTATAATAACTTTTAGATGACTGTAGGTTGTTTTTAATCATTGAAAGGATGTGTTTACTGTCAAAAGAAGAATTACATGAAATAATCTGATTAGCTTTTTCTTGTTGAGTCCGTGGGTTTCCTTCTGTAGGTTTCAGCATGGAGATTATTGGAGGGAGAGAAGTGCCGCCACATTCCAGGCCCTTCATGGCTTCCATCCAGTATGACGGCCACCACATCTGCGGTGGAGTGCTTATTCACCCGCAATGGGTGCTGTCGGCAGCCCACTGTCGCTCCCGGTGAGTGCCTGCTCTGGGTTTTCAGTGTTCTGCCTCCACTGGCTAGAAGTGAAGCTCCCCTGTCCCAGGAGAGAATTTTGTTTTTGAACATTCTAGGTGTAACGAACACAGTAATGTTTGCTGAATACAGATGTACTATCAAGGGGTATTAATGACAGTTCTGTCTTATTTACATATGTATTTTTTAATTGAAGTAGAGTGGACATATAATATTAAATGAGTTTCAGGTGTACAACATAGTGATCCAACATTTAAATACATTTTGACAGGCTCATCATGATCAAGTGTATTACAATATTATTGACTATGTTCCCTATGCTGTACTCTTCATCCCCCGTGACTTACTTTATTTTTTTTTTTAATGTTTTATTTATTTCTGAGAGAGAGAGAGCGTGAGCAGGGGAGGGTCAGAGAGAGAGGGAGACACAGAATCTGAAACAGGCTCCAGGCTCTGAGCTGTCAGCATAGAGCCCGACGCGGGGCTCGAACCCACAAACTGTGAGATCATGACCTGAGCCGAAGTCGGATGCTTAACCGACTGAGCCACCCAGGTACCCCCCCACCCCCACCCCGTGACTTACTTTAAAACTGGAAGTTTGCACCTCTTAATCGCCTTCACCCGTTTTGTCCAGCCCCCCACCGCTCCCCTCTGGCAACCACCAGATTGTTCTCCATATTTTTGAGTCTGTTTCTCTCTTTTCTGTCGTTACTATTTATTTGTTCACTGTTTTTGTTTTTGTCTTTTAGATTTCACATGTAGGTGAAAGCATACGGTATTACTTCTTCTCTGGCTCCTTCTCCTAGCATACTGCCCTCTAAGTCCATCCATGTCGTGCCATGCGAATGGCAAGATTTTGATCTACCCTTAGCTTCTGTGAGCACTGACCAACTGGTGGAGTTTGCTTAGCCTCTTGCACACCCAAGGTTTCTGCCCTGAGTTTTCCTTTTCAGGGAGAGCTGGGCCACTTTTCCCGGGCAAGCCATTGGACAAACCCAAGTGCTCCCTGTAATGCAGGAAAGGCAGCAACGGTAGTAATCGGAGAGTGGCATTCCTTACCTTGTTAGACAACTTGAGCTTGCAGCTTCCCTTTCCCATTTTACAAAATGTTAGTAATAATAACAACAGTACCTGCTTTGTGGGGTTTGGAGGGTTAAATAGTATCTATTTGAGTATTTTAGTATGCTTAGCACGGAATAAGTACGAATAAATTGGAGCTGTTATTGTTATGTGTACAAGAAGCCTGCTTTGTTAAATGGATTTTTAGGACCCTTATGGTAACTCCTCTTCCCCACCCCCAAGCCTCCACCCCCCTCCCCAGAGGCCTGAGGCCCACAATTTGGGAATCACAGCTGTAAAGGGACAACAAATTTCCTAGTTTAAAAAAAAAAAGCTATAGATGATTTGCACAAGGAGAGAAAGAGATGTTTTTCTGGAATACTTAGAACAAAAGCTTTTCCGAAGACAGGCTGTAATCTCTCATAGTACATTTCAGTCTGTGATTCTCTTACTTTAGATTTTAAAAAAGTCCAAAACTCTTCTTGGGATGCTGCAACCTTTGCAAAAAGAAAAGCAATGGAAAACCAATAGGCTGTTTGTTGTTTTGTTTACTTGTTTGTTTAGGGGCATTGTTTTTTTTGTTTTTTAATTGTTTTTGTTGTTGGTTGTATGTTTCTCCCTTATGTTTCTTGCCCAAATAAGCCAAGAAGAGATGGGGACTGCTTTCCTGACAAACATTACAGCACTTCCCTTAAAACTCTCTTAGCCACAATGGTTTGCTCTCCAGGCTAGGGAACAACTGAATTGACTAGCCCCCTTTTAATACGACTAAACACAAATTAGAAATTTTGAAGCCTGTAGAAAGTGAGGACTTTTGTTTTATTTCTAAACAGCAAGCCGCTAATTTCCAATTTCATACGGCTACCTCGTTCAAATGGGGTTTTTGCCGTCAAAGACGTCACCTTTGTGTCCGTATCGCTTCTGTCCTTTTCAGAGCACGAGTCCCCCCGAGGGACCAGCTAGGCAGAGGGTGACTACCAATAAATGTTCATTCAATTCAAAATATGCACGTCTTCAATCATTCTTATGGCACACATTCAAGTGGACTCTAACCTACCCAGACACAGAGCTTTACTTATTATAAAACACTCAACAAAGGCTGGATAGAAGGAAGGAAAGATATTGGAGGACTTTCTTTTTTTTCTTTTCTAAGCCAAAAACACAGTGTGTGAAGTCCTTCACAAATCTTAAACTGCTATCCAAAAGTGAATAATATTATTAATTTGAATTTAAAATTTTGTCAAGTGAACTTAACTCCGTAGGAGTGGGTCCTCAAACTGACAAATTGGTGAAAAGAGATCTTGGAATTAAATTTAAAAAACAAAAAATGAAAGAAAAACCAACTCTTGCTAAATACCATTTTCAAGGGCCAGAGTTTAAAGAACTGCAGAATATGTGGATCAGATTTCCTTGTACAGGACACTTGGGTGTAAAAATGTAGGCGGATTGGTGCTTAGAAAAATATCAAGCTTTGTGAAATTCAAAATATTTATGAAATAGTTTAATGGTGGCTTCCCACAAATGTACTTTCAAGCATCCTGGGGGAATAGCTTACTAACTCCAGGCCCCTTTTTCAGCAAAACTGTGAAGGAGGCCAAATCTGGGGTGCCCCCATCTCACTACCGTTCCTCACTGTGTCCCTTGCCCTTTCCATTTGTTTCCGTGCCAACTATAAAAGCAAACCAGTAAAAAAGCTTTTGCTAATCTTATTTTCAGCCTTTCAATTTATCAGAAGCAATACAGCAATACTCTCGCCAACTCTTGTCCACTGTCTTCCTGAATCCCTCCCCTGCCTTCCCTCACTGATCACCTCCTCCTCTCACCTGCTTGGGCTGTAATTAGAGGAAGCCCCCCTCCAGACCCCACCCCCCCTGCCCCAGTCCCTTCCACATGGCCTCACGCCATCTCAGACCACTAGGGGCATCCAGAGTAAATGGTGAGGATTCAGCCCCCAGACTCAAACCAGCTGAACTTCAATTTGCATCCTGGAGCCTCCCCTGAATGTCTGTGGGACTTTCTCAAGTTTGTTAATTTACCCGAGTCTTAGTCTCCTCATCTGCAACGTGGGGATAATCATAATACCTCCCTCACAGGACTGTTGTGAGGTTTAAAGGAGCAAGAATTTGTAAAATGCTTAGCACAAAACCTGACACACCACAATAACTTAGTACATGTCAAATAACGTCATTATGTTATTATGTGTACTTTCTACTGTAGTCACTGAGGCACCAGTCCGATGATGCAGTTGTGTGAGGATGGGACAGAAATAGCCCCTCTCTGACAGCCAGGTAATTCCCTCCTCTCTTAGACTGAAGAGACCTCCAGGAAATAAGGACCCTGTCTTTGTTAGCCCAGGAGGAGGGCCTAAGCAGAAACATGACTTAGTGCCAAGGCAAATGGCAGAGGAAATAGTCTTGAAGGGGCTTGGCATGGGGCTTACAGAGGTGTCATGGAAAGAGCGTTGGGCTTGAACTCACAAGGCTTCAGTCCTGATTTCCTCACTTATCATGTGTGTCACCTTTGCCCAAAGAACCCTTCTACTGGTGAGGACTATACAACACACCAACACTGAAAAGGGTTATTTTTAGACACAATAGGACGATGTTTCAGTAGAAGGCTGATGTCAGGAAAAGACTGCAAACAATACTTTTGTTCCTGCTCTGCCTGTAGTTCTATTCCAGGTAAGTCCAGGGTGGGACTCAGAAAGCTGTATTTTATTTTAAGCACTCCAAGGGCACCTGGGTGGCTCTGTCAGTTAAGCGTGCAACTCTTGATTTCCGCTCAAGTCAGGATCTCACTGTTTGAGTCCCATGTCAGGGAATGACAGTGCAGAGCCTGCTTGGGAGTCTCTCTCATTCTCTCTCTCTTTCTCTCTGCTCTTCCCTCTTTCTCTCTCTCAAAACAAATAAATAAACTTGAAAAAAAATTTTTTAAATATAAATGCACATCTCCACATGATTCTGAAGCAGGCGGTACAAAAAGAAACCCTACAACAAACAAATGAAAAACACTAGTATTATTACGTCTAGTGAACTCAGACGTGGGTTTAGCTAAGGAGGTGGGATCCTAGAATTCAGGTAATTCCAGGTATTTTGTGGGCAGCAAAATTGACCCTGGTAGTATAGATCACAGTTGTACCAGGAAAAGGGAAGTCAGAGAGGGTTCGTGGTCTGCTTGGGTTGTTTTTGATATTAACATGTCCCAGTGGAAATGAAAATAACCAAAACATTGCAAAGGCATTCATGAATCGAGGAAATGGGTAAAAGATATGGAAAACCAGAAAAATTTTCAACATCCATCCCCTAATCAAAATCCATCTTCTACACCCTGCATTTGCACCTCACAGTCTTCCTTGTGTTAGCTATGTATGCATGCATCCGTCTTTTCTGTTAAAGCAGGCTTCCTGGCATTTGGTATCATTTTCCACCCTCCCCACCCCCACCCCAAAGTTTGGGTTTAATGAGTATGTTGAATTTGAATTTGAATCAATCCTAGGAAATCTGATCCACATCCTTTGAGAAATTTCATCCCCATCCTGATTTTGCAATAGGCAAACTTTTCAACAAATAGAGCTGAAATTCTCAAAATAAACCAAAATAAGCTCTTTTGGTAGAAACTGAACAGTGGTCATTCCCAGCAGCCACAGCCCTACCTTATGCAAACCTACCCTCCCATAGCCATGAGCTCATTCTTCAAACCTGAAACAATACTTTCTTCCTTTTTCTATATGTTTTTTAAAAGCTCTTATGAGTCTTTGTTAATCTGTATGGATGAGAATGTGTATGTTTCTATTTTTAATTATAGTTGACATGCAATATTATATTAGTTTCAGATGTATAACATAGTGATTCAACAATTATGTATATAATCAAATGGTCACCGTAAGTGTAATTACCATCTCTCACCAAAGTTATTACAATATTTTTTACGATATTCTCCTATGCTGTACTTTTCATCCCCTTGAGTTATTTTATAACCGAAAGTTTGTACCTCTTAATTCCCTTCCCTTATTTTGCCCATCCTCCCCCATCTCTCCCCTCTGACAACCACCGGTTTCTTCTCTGTATCTGTGAATCTGTTTCTGTTTGTTTGTTTGTTTGTTTGTTCATGTGTTTTGTTTTTTTATATTCCACATATAAGTGAAATCATATGGTATTTGCCTTTCTCTGTCTGACTTGGGTGGGTGTGGATGTTTTTATTGTAATCTGTCTTGATCCCTTTTTCAAGTGACAGCGAAATAGTTATATGTAAACAAATGTCTTTTTATAACCCGCCTTGCTTCCTAAATGATTTGAAGTGGCTTCCTACAAACATGCAGTAATATGGGATTTTTTTTTTTTACCGTATGCCAAAAGCTGCAAGGTTTTGTCAAGATCTTAAAAAAAATTGTTTCTATTTTCATAACTAGATGTAAATGTAATTTTGTTCAACATGCAGTAAATCAAATCAATTGTGGCACTGTTGGAACCATGGTACTGGAACTGTGTATGGCCAGGGATAAAACGAAACGAAACAAGCAAAACAAACTATTGTTTCTATCTGACTCACCTGTTTATATCTTCTAAATCTCCACAATGGAATTTTCAAGTCTACTAACCCTACAGTGTCTTTATTTCAAATCAGTAATTATTTTTCACCTTGAGGAAAGTTTTCCTTTCTTGTCCAAATACTCTTTCTAACTGAAGGGACAGAACATAACTTATCTGACAGCCATGTAATGGATCTTTTTCTCCATATTGCCCTGAGATGAGGTCTAGATATACCAGGTTAGCAAATGCAGAGTCGAGGTTTTACCTTTTAGTTATTAAAACACTTAATGTTGGGAAGATGGAAAAGTTCTGGAGTTTGATGGTAGTGATAAACGAACAACAGTGTAAGTGTATTTAATGCCACAGAACTGTACATTTTAAAATGGTTTAAATGGTAAATTTTACATTATGTATATTTTACCTTAATTAAAAACAACTAACAATGATGGGTATAAATCTCAATCCACAACTCAAGAAATAGAATTCATTTCTACATAAATTAAAATAATTTTGTTGTAAACTTGATCTCAGTCAATTAGAATTGCATTCCTTTACCCCACAGTAGTGCACAGTTTTGATATTCTTTTTCAATACTATGGAATTTTGAAGTGGGGTGGGTCTGAGAGCAGGTCTTTGGCCTTTGATATTGTCCATTCATGCTTGGGTCCACAAAGACCTCTGTTACTCCACCTAATCCTAGATGTGTTACCTTGGAGATGGCCCTTGTTCCTGTGTGTGTGTGTGTGTGTGTGTGTATTATATATATATATAATATACATATTATATATATATATATAATATACATATTATATATATATATATATATATATATATATATATATATAAAACATTCTCCACCATTTTTTACCCTCCATTGAGGTATTTGGGACTTATTCTGTTCCTTCTATTTTCTTTGCTTTTTTTAGACATCACAAAGACCACTTTTTCAAAGTGATTTTAGGAGCACACTCTCTCTCAAAGAATGAGGCCTCCAAACAAATGTTTGATATTAAAAAATTTATACCATTCTCAAGAGTTATATCATATCGTAAATCAAATGATATCATGCTAATTCAGGTATGTAGTATTGCCTTCTTCCAACTTTTCCAGCATTCATATACAGCATATTTCATTTGTTAAATCATCCACACAAAAGCATTTTGTTAGCATCATCCCCATGTCTGAGGTAATTGTGACATATTCTAGAAGGGTCCATTTTACTCCATATGCAGCCTTGAAAGAAGCAAGCATTTATCACAAATGCATGAGGGCTGTGTTTATACAAGGGAAAGCAACCATGATGCTCACATATGTGGGAAGGGAGCGTCCCAGCAGGCTCAAAGATCCCCACTGAAAGCTTTTTTCCCCAAATGCTTTTATCATTAGCAAATGAAAAATACAAGTCCTTTATACAACTGAGCCAACCAAGTGAATTCAGGGACACAGAAGTGAGTTATATCTTAGTCTAGACCATACTTAGTCTAGTCCAAACTTAGTCTAGACCATACTCAAGGGTCTTATCCAGCGGAAACAGCCCAGCCCTTGAAGTCATGACCTATTGATGTTATTCCACAGAAACCCATCCAATGCAGAGCAAAGGCCAGTTTGCTTAAGGCTGGGCAAAAATTCCTGCTCTGTGGAAGCTCCCTCCCCAAGCGTCATTGAGCTCTACAGGGAATGGAGAGCATTTCAGAAAAGCAACAGCCACAAATACAGCTGCAGGCTACCACCAAAGTAGATTCAAGGAGAGGGATGCCTTCCTAGACCGAAGGGACCACACATACAACGCTTAGACTCATAGCAGAATACTATTGGGAATGGAGGATTATTTATTCTCTTTTCAATCTGTCAGCTTCACACGGCTGCAACACTCAACCGACAAGTCCAGCTGCTGCACCCAAGCTCCAAAAATGATATTAGAGCTGGAACGAAATGCCAGGTTACTGGCTGGGGAGCCACCGACCCAGAATTGTTAAGGACCTCTGATACCCTGCGTGAAGTCACCGTTACTGTCATAAGTCGAAAACTTTGCAACCGCCCAAGTTATTACAACCACAGCCCCGTTATAACGAAAGGCATGATATGTGCTGGAGATGACAGAGGCCAGAAGGATTCCTGCCAGGTAAGAGCCTATCTGTCAAATAGGCATCTCAGAGCGCTGTGCTGCATGCAGTCAAAGGCTCCTTTGGCTCCCTAGCACAGAGGAGAGGGAAGGGGGACACAAGATCACAACTCCAGAAAGTTCCTCTCCATTTCTCCACTGAGTTCTCTATTCTTCCTCATCTGCTCATGTGAATGAGTCATAAGAACTTGCCCAAGACAGAAGCACCCTTCAAAGGTTTGTTAATCAGGGGGTGCCTGGGTGGTTCAGTCGATTAAGTGTCTAACTCCTGATCTCAGCTCAAGTTTTGAGCTTAGGGTTGTGAGTTCAAGCCCTGCATTGGGCTCCACACTGGGTGTGAAGCCTACTTAAAAAAAAAAAAAAAAAAAAGAAGTTTGTTAATCAGGATAACAGACTGCATCTGAAATATATAGTATGTGTTTCTTAAATAATGTTGACAAATTGACTAAAAGGAGCAACAGTTCTACTTTTCAGAATCTTTGGTTTCTGAGGCAGTAAAAAAACAAGCAGGTGTTCATGTTTACAAGTGACAAACGGAACAGATGAATTACTGATTTTTAAGACATGAGAATGCACTGTTCACATCATACTGTGCTAAGCATTATCAAGGGGAAGGTATGATGATTTCAGAGACCACGTGTATCTGCAGCGCCCCAGCACTGTCACCCTTCCTCCTATACGTCTATGGTCATGGCCGACCAGAGCACAACCTGCCGTAGTCTGCAATGTGAGTGGCAGCAGATGCAAAGGCTGCCCTTCAGACGAGAAAGTCCCCTCTTATCATTCTGTAGCTTTCCTTGACAGATCTTCATTATGTGTTTAACCAAATCCCCTGGAATCAGTTCGCTGAGTGAGCATTTACAAAGTGCTGTGTATGTGCAAAACATTACATTCAATTACATGAGAATGCGAAAAGGGGGAAAAATAAGACAGAGTCCCTGCCACCAATATATTTACTACAACACATTTCTCTTTTCTGCCTGTCTCTATAACAACTTGATTTCAGATCCAGGAGCACCAAAATGAAATTCACAATGTGAAACATTCCTTTCATTTCAATGGGTTATTTTAAATTTTATATTCACTCATTCCTTAATGAATAAAGTTCTGTAGTTGCGGATTAACAAAGGTGGTGGGGGGGGGTAGTCCTAGACAGAGCTAGGGATGTGGGCAGAGAGACAGATAGACAGACAGACAGACAGACAGATGGACAGAATCATTGTCCTGGCCAGAGACAGAGACAGCCCGTGCTGAGAAAGGGGCTGTATCAGCAGTCTTCAGGACACGAAGAAACCAAGGCCATACAATAATCCTTTGAGTAATTAATAATTGGTGGTAGAAAAAGTTCCACAGCTTCTTACCAAGTATCTATTTTCTTCTTTCCAGGGTGACTCAGGTGGTCCCTTGGTTTGCAAAGGTGCTTTCTATGCTTTAGTCTCTGGAGGTCATAAATGTGGTCATCCCAAGAAGCCTGGAATCTACACCCTAATAACCCAGAAATACCAGGCTTGGATTAAAAGCAAGCTTGCCCCATCTCATGCGAACTATGACCACGAGTGATTTTCTTGGACCCATCAGCTGCTTGTTTTGCTTTCATAAGATGTTCTAGAGGCCACTTTGTCTTCATATGTAGTTGGATGTCATTAAAATGGAGCACACTTAGGGGCCACTCCTGCCTCCTGAGGACTGATTTTGTCAAGGAATCAAGCTCTTTGCCACATCTATAACTGCTGTATTTTTACTATGCTGATTTCATTCTGAATAAAAGTCAGAAGACTATGGCTTTGTTTTTTTATGGAAACGAGGTCCAGCAAATGATATACTCCCCACTCCACCCACACTCCCCCAAAGGGCAAAAGGTGATTAAGCAAGCCACGTTCCACCTTCAATCGGGTTTATGCTGTGATTTCTGCTGTGATTTTTATCCTAAACTGCATTTTTAAAATAAGAACCAGTGGGACACCTGAGCGGCTCAGTCAGTTAGGCATCTGACTCTTGATTTTGGCTCAGGTCATGGTCCTGTGGTTTGTGGGTCTGAGCCCCACGTCAGGCCCAGTGCTGACTGAATGGAGCTTGCTTGTATTCTCTCTCTCTCAAAATAAACAAATAAGCTTTAATAAAATAAAACAAAATAAGAAACAGTAAATGCAAACACTTCAACTAAAAGAATCATCAGGGGCGCCTGGGTGGCTCAGTCAGTTAAGTATCTGACTTTGGCTCAGGTCATGATCTCACGGTTTGTGGGTTCCAGCCCTGTGTCAGGCTCTGTGCTAACAGCTCAGAGCTTGGAGCCTGTTTCAGATTCTGTGTCTCCCTCTCTGTCTCTGCCCCTCCCCCACTTGTGCTCTGTCTCTCTCTGTCTCAAAAATAAACTATATGTTTGCACGTATAGGAGGATTAGGAGGAACTTGACGGAGGACCAAGGGGGAGAAGAAGGGCGGAAATGGTGGGGGAAAGGGAGAGAGGCAAACCATGAGAGACTCTTGAATGCTGACAAAAACT